GAGGAAGATAAGCAAAGGGAGAGTGAGATTGAATCCATAAGAGAGAGAGGGACATAGAAAGAGAAAAGGAGAGTGAGTGAGAGAGTGGGAACAAAAGTGGAGAACAAAAGTGGACAAAAGTGGAGAGAGAGTGTGAGCAAGAGAAAGTGAGCATGAGTGTGTGTGAGAGAGAGAGTATATAAAGAGAGATGGAGTGGGAGCGAGAGAATTAGAGGGAGAGGATGGGAGGGAGGGAATGATGGTGTGAGAGAGAGAGAGAGAAAGACTATGAGGTGACAGTTAGAGAAAGGAAGGGAGAGATAAATAGGGATAGTGGGTGGGCGTGAGAGAGAGTAGGAGCAAGAAAGTGTAAGAGAGATGGGGAGAGATAGAGATGGATAAAGAGATAGAGATCTGGACACTAAAAGATAGAAAAAATAGTAAAATATAGAGGGATAGAGAGAGGAATAAAATGAGAGAGAGGGAAGGGGAGTTAGAATTAGAGTAGAAGAGAGAGAGAGAGTGTGCGAGATAGAAATGAGTTAGAGATAGGAAGCAAGAGAAAAAAGAGAGCAAGAGCAAGAGAGAAAGAGAAGGTAGGTAGAGACGGATAGAGAGTGCGATAAAACTCTCTACCTACCTCCCCCTCCTTATCTTTTTTCACTCTTTTTATCTTCTTCAAACCATTCTCTCTCTCCCTTCCACTTTTTCTCTCTTTATCTCTCCTGCTCTCTCTCAATCTCTCTCACTCTCTCTGTTCTCTAACTCTCTCTCTCTCCTTCACACCCTCTTGTTGTCTTTCCCTCCCTCTATCTCTCTCTCAATCTTCCTCTATCCCTCCCTTTTTCACTCATACATATATATATATATATATCTTCTCTCTTGGGTTGTGATTCACAGAAAATAAGGGATTCAATAATATCTAATTTTGAAACACTAAAAAAAGGAGCCCGAAAATAAATTTCAATGCAAAAATTTTTTAGTAGTTACTACCTATCATAGTCTTAAGGCTCCCACATGCAATGGTCTCCAATTGTTCGTCGCTGATCCTTCTAGCAGATCAAACGCTAATGCCCATTGGTTTCTTCTGTTTGATGCGGCACTATTTGTGTGACACATTGTAAAAACTTCGTTTCGTGTGGTTAGAAAAAATGTCGCGATGGCGTCCTTAAAAAAATTTGATAAAACGTGACCGCGGGTTCAACCTTGTAGCCTGCATTTCTTGGCTTGCAATTTACTCTACGTCCCTCTTCTCATATTTTTTTTGTCTCTCTCAACCAGCTCACTCTCTAGCGATTCTTCTGCCCTAGGTACCGCTCTCTCTCTTGGATCTGTGGCTAGGCGCTGTTTCCAGTTGGCTATTGTCGGTTTCGGTGGTTGTTTTGGTGACCCTTACATTCTTCTCCCTCTTCTCTCCTTTCTTCCACTAGATTTTAGGTGGTTATGTGCACTCTATGCTCTGTGTAGTGGATCACATTTTTTCGATTGGTGGTTATTGTGGTGAGTTTTGTATTCTCTCTTCCATTCTCCCTTTTCGGTTTGGTGGTTTTGATACTTCATGTTGCATCCATAATGATTTTGGTTTATGTTTTTGACGAATTGTGAATTTTGATTTCAGTTAGAACTATTGCTTGGATTGGTGCTTTGTGGTGAGCTTTGATTTTTGGTGCTTTTGTTGTCAGCAATGCTTGAGATTGTATGAATGAGAATGTAGTTCATATGATTGAGTGCAAATAAATATGGAAATATTCATTGTTGGGTGTAGAGTTAGAAGACTTTAAAGTGACAGGTTAAAGCCCCCAACTTGGTTTATTGTTTTAGGTTCTTATACGAGAATGATAGCCCCCAAGTGGAGGGAATCGAAGGAACTCTAGAGTGAGAGCTAGTATTTTCTCTGCCTAGCCGGTCTTCAGAACTATTCAAACTTTAAATTAGCCAATGTTCTTTATAACATCTCTAGTAAAGGTAAAGAATATTATTGCTCATATTTAGCACAACACAATTTGCATACTTCCACAACAGATTCTTATACTTATTACTGATTCATGATAGGAAGAAAGATATTTTCATATTAAATATTTTTCTTCTACAAAAACTTTAGTTATCTTTTTAGTTGTTGTTTTGTTAAAATATCAAAAATACCAAAAATATTTAAATTTTAAATTCCTACAAAAATCGTTTTTTTATTTTAAGTAATTATCTTTTTAAAAATAAAAAAAAAACTTTCTAAATAGTGCATATTGCATAATCTTCCTTGTGGGTTTGATATTCATGTCTTAATCAAAAGTTCTATATTACTTGATAATGATACGTATACTTGCGTAGTGTCGCTCGGGTGTTTTGTGGAAAGAGTTGACCAAAGGATGGCTGCCCGATTTACAGAAGCAGTTGAAGAAGGCCCATGGAGAGAACTTCTAAAGAGAAGAAATTTATGAAGAACAGTGAAGTGAAATTTAGCAGTGTTCTTCTTGACTATGTGAATAGATTGTCAATCTAAAACAGCGCAAAATTCATGTATTACATACAACTTAAATCTGTTCAAGCATTCAGCAAAATCAAGCTAAAATGTAATTGAACTGAAAAAGATCTCTAGAAGAAATGTATTTAGGAGTAATTTGTAAATGCCATATTTCTTCAAGATGATATATAGAAAAAACAGATTTAGGCGTAAATGCCATTTTACTTCAAAATACTCATTAGCCAAAGCTCAGACACATAAATGATGAAGAATAGTTGCATGATTCTCCTTAAGAATTACCTCAATCGGCACACCTTTGTTTCCTGGTGGCAGAGGAATTCCAATGCCATCTCCCCTTGGATATCGGAAACACGATGGTCGGTCATTAATAGCTGCTGCTGTGGCCACCATGTGAAACAGTTCTGCCTCATCAGAAGGAGCCATCACTATCATATTCGGCAAACATGCCATGTAAGTTACATCAAATGATCCACAATGTGTAGGTCCATCAGCCCCAACAAGGCCCGCACGGTCTAAAGCAAACCTCACAGGGAGCTTCTGCAAGTCCACATCATGTATCACCTATAACAACAGCAAGATCTGTCTATTTGACCTCTTTTTTTCTTTGAGAATAAATCAAGTTTATGTTGCTTGCCACAGTTGAATTTATTAAGAAACAACTGATGAACATAGGAAGAACTAATTTGTGGAGAAAAGAGAAGGTTCCCTTAACCTGATCATAAGCTCGCTGAAGGAAAGAAGAGTAGATTGCACAAAATGGCTTTAATCCCTCACAAGCTAAGCCAGCAGCAAAAGTGACAGCATGCTGCTCTGCAATTCCCACATCAAAGCAACGGTTTGGAAAGCGGCGGAGGAAGTAGTTGAGTCCTGTTCCCCCGCCCATAGCAGCATGTATTGCAACAATGTTCTTGTCCGCTTCTGCTTCTGCTATAAGAGCCTCAGCAAAGTAATTGGTATAAGACTGAGTCTTGGCACTTCCTTTGAATTGCTTCCCTGTAGCTGGATCAAATTTGGCCACACCTTTAAGAAAGAAAGAAATGGCGCTGTCATTGCATATTTCCAATCAAAGTAATATTGACTAAACTTCTTTGGCGACAATACCATGATACTTATCTGCTGCTCTCTCAGCGTAAGGATACCCTCTTCCTTTCTCGGTCACAACATGAATTAAAACTGGTCCAGTTGTTTTGGTGCTTTTCACTTCCTTAAGAATGGTGATTAGATCATCCAAATTATGGCCATCAACTGGTCCTATGTAGTAGAGCCCTAGCTCTTCGAACAGGGATGAGTTGGATCCGCTGATCATTCCTCGAGCATATTCATCAACTTTTGCCGCAAATTCATGCATAGATCCACCAATCTGCTTTGTGACCCCCTGAAAGAATTGAAAGATTGGACTTATAATTCACTTACTGGAAAGGTTTAAGAAAAAAAAAAGAGAAGCTTTTAGAACAGGGAATGCAGCATTCAAGGCATTTGTAGCATCATCATATCGTGGTTGGAAGCATAAAATCACCAACAAATTAACTTTGTTTTTTAACACAAAACATGCATGTATCTGAAGGCACCTCACATGTCCCATGTCAAAGTCCATTTTGACTTATTTCAAATCAGCTGAACAAGTATTTAGTGCTAATACCAAAAGCTTTCTGCATCTACGAGTTACATAAAAACTAGGGTGATGAGATGCTTCTAATAAGGTAGATCGGGAGACATTAGCCAATCTCCAATAGGAAGGCCTGCCTTCACCAAGCTCAGGCATATTGGATTAGTTGTCAGAGATCTCTGCAAAAGGGTCTTGGCCTCAGAAAATAGCAAAAGAATTATTCATATGATATTGCAATGGGTATTTATAGAAGACACTGGGGCTTTGCTAAATAACAAGAATTAGGCTCTGTTTGGGGCTGCGTTTTTCGAGCGTCGCGGCCCCAAACCGGAAAGTCAAAAAAAATTTCGCCCGCTTTCCTTCTGCGGCAGCGGTTGATTGCCGCTAAAAAGGAAGAAAGCTGGCCGCGGGGTCGATCCCGCGGCCTGGCTTTCTCAAGCAGTAAAGGCTCCTTTGCCCCACTCCAAATCCCCGCTCGTTTGCCCCGCTCCAAATCCCTGCAAGGAACCCTAACCCAATTCGGGAAACCGCCGAACCCGCCGATTCTTCCTCCCTTCGCGAAGACTCCCCCTTCTCCTCCCCTGTTACGGAAAACCGCCGCCCCGCTTGATAGTTCTGCCCTCTCCGAAGCCCCTGCTCATTTCTCCATTCGCGAAGACTCCCCTTCTCCTCCTCCTGTTCGGGAAAACACCTCTTATTGCTCGATCGGACCTCTCGACCGTCTCGCTCCGAAGCCCCCTGATCGTTGCTCCCTTCGCAAAGACTCCCCCTTCTCCTCCTCCTGCTAGGCCGACCGCTGCTCGCCTTCCACCGTCGTTGCTCGGGTGTTTTGTGCTGATTGAAGCAGCTTGCCCAGTTCCGCCCCGCTCAAAACCGAAGCTGGTATTTCTCCTCCCAAATTTTTATCCGATATTTTTTTGTTGTTCTTTTATTTAGTCGATTTGCTCTGCAAAATGGATTAATAACAGCTGCAATTAACATCAAAAGAAAATATTAGATACATACTTGCATGAACTAGAACTTATGATTGTTACTCTAATTCCAAAATTTATCAAACTTGCATGATAGAGTTCTAGATATGTTCTCTCTATAGTTCTTTGGTACTTATATGGACCCGCTAAACATGACAAGCCTTTGGTCTATTTATTTATTTTATCTTTTTTTTTTATAATTTAAATGGCATTGGATTGCTAGCTTGATTGTGGTTTTATCCCATCTACCTTTTTCCACAATATGTTCTATCCATGATAACATGATAACTCTTATTAGTTTCACTCTTATTAGTTTCACAAACCTTTCATGCCTGATTCCAGTTAAAATTTGCACTCATGGACATTTCTTATATTTCTCCTAATGATATGTTGCACAGAGCTTCCCATTTATTGGATCATAAATTGCTTGGACTAACATTATAACCAATGTTTTTCTACAATTTGAGATATTCTATATTCTATTTTTGAAGTTTAGTCTGGCGGAGTGACGACCTCATTATTTTGCCAAGAGTGAAATTCAGTTCTAGAATAGCGTGAAAACATGACATATGGTTAATCGACCAAATAGTAATTGATATTTGCAAAAGTTTGATTTGATTTTTTACTTTGTAATTGATTTTAATTTTACGTTTCATGGCTTTGTTTTGATTTAGTCATAACATGAATAATAAATCTCAAGAGGCTGCTACACCTGCATTGTGGGAAAAAGAAACAAAAATACTAAATGTAAATTTGCTTTTTGCTGCAGCTGAAAGTTGACACGTGAAAATTTGATTTGTTTTCCACTGAAATGATTGGTCGTCCATTTACACATCTAATGCCTGAACTTTGATTTGTTTTCCACTGAAATGATAAGCGACAAAGTTGGTAGGATTTGCTTGGTAGGATTTGCATTACGTAGGATTTGCATTACTTAAGTTATGCTTTATTTAAGAAAGATCTTCATTTGTTTTCTGCTAAAGTATTGGGTTAATATTTAAGAAAGGTCTTCAAAAGTTTTCTCCGGGAATTTATGAACTATGCTTGGTTTACTGCATGTTTACTTGCATGCCACACTAATCTTTGGCAGTGCTTTTGATATGATGTTAAATATTTGTGTGGTATGCATGCAAACATGAATGTTTAGGTGTTAGATATGTAAATATATAAGAATTGTGTAATATGCATATGTAAAAGCCCCTTAATTTTTTGGTTGCTGGGATAGTTATCGGGTCTTTGTGTTTGAGGTGGGAGAGGATGAGGAATGGAATTAATGGATGAAGTGCTGTTGAGGAATGGAATCAATGGATGAAGTGCTGTTGGTATATTTGTATGACAGTTATAAAAAGTTTGCTGCTTTCATTTGTGGAAAATTTAGAAAACTATTGATGTTTTGTTTTAGTTAAATTATGAAACTTTATGGTTTTGTGTTTGTGGTAAGATTGACAAACTTTAAAGGGTACTTCGTCTTTGATAAATGTCTGAATTTTGGTCTCTCCTTCGATAAATGTCTATTTGTAAGAGACACATGGATTATGATACAAGATTTTATGATCATGTCTGTTTATGCAAATGCTTAAATAAATTGTTGTGGGATTCAACTTGAATTTTATAATTTTATTGCACAAAATAGGCATGAAATCAATAAAACTGGGGTTCTAGTGAGAGGGGAAGGTTTTCAGAATAAAAAGCTGACACATTTGGATGGATAAATAACTTATTAGGAAGATTTACTTGCATACCACTCAATTCTCATGTGTTTAGATATCTAACACCTAAACCTCAATTTTTACATAAAAATGTGCACTTCAGTTTTTAAAAGTTAAAACGGTTTTATTTTTTATGTGACTTAAGATTTTAGTGGTATAAATGTAAGCGACAAAGTTTAGCTGTTAGATATATATTTACATCAGTATCTTCCACCGTACTCATTTAACCAGTTCAATGTGCACTTCAGTTTAGCTGGTATAAATGTGCACTTCAGTTTAGCTGTTAATTGTTATATATTTTTTTCATGTGATGACTCCCTGTACTCATTTAACCAATTCCTTATGCGGCTCCATTGTGTTTCCCTTGGAAATTGCTAGTGAATTATTGGACTGATTTCAGAAAAATTGACTTTTTTTTCACTCCTCTACTCTGTTTTTTAATCTTACAAACATTGATGTAGTATTGTCATATATATTGTGCATATATAAGATGACATATATTTACATCAGTATCTTCCACTGCTTTTTGTTAGCAGATAAATTCACAATAATTGAGTGGTATATATGTAAATCTTTATCTTTTTTTCCATCAGTATCTTCCACTGCTTTCTGTTTTGAAGGCTGCATGATATAAGAATCTCTGTGGCTCCTTCAGCGGCAGTTCAACAATTGCAGCAATGAAAAATGTCTTCTGAAAGGATTAGATATGTAAATTTTCCTATTCTTTTATTTTAGTTAAATAGAATTTTACCTCTGCCTTTGTTTTCAAAGCATCCACATTTTCCAGATTTGTGTTATTCTACATTATTTGCACTCAATTCTTTTGTGTGATTGTAACTATGGATGAAAGTATATTTTTTTAAATGGTATGAGAGATTTGGGTGGTATACATGTAAAAAAAAAATTAAATATTGGTGCTAGATGTGTAAATACATTGGAATTGGTTTTCACATGCATACCACCATTCTAACTTGTAAAAAAAATTAATTTGTTGTGCTGAGTTGTATATTCAAATGCAGAGTGTTGCATCTGGTTGTTGAAAGGCTTCAATATTTTTATAAGTGTTGGTTGCTGTAGATATTAGTATGATAGGATGATTATAAGTATTCCTTCATGTAGATATTAACACTTTCTACTTTACAAATTATTACTGCTGAACCTTGCATGGCATAAAAGTTGCATATTCAAGTCATTTATTGGCTGGTGGACCCTGTAATAATATT